GGCATTTAAAATTTTTATTATTTTTATTATATATATATGAATGTATTGTTGCATGTATGTGAGTACACGTGTATTATGCATGGAGGTCAGAAGAAGATGCCAGATTCCCTGGAACTGAAGATATGGATAGTTGTTAGCCACTATGTAGGTACTGGGAACTGAACCTGGGTCTTCTGCAAGATCAGCCAGTTTTCTTAAACACTGGGCCATGTCTCCAGCCCTGCAAATGGCAGTTTTGAAAAAAAATTATTTTTATTTTTTATTTTATGTGTATGAGTTATTGTCTACATGTGTGTAAGTGTACCCGTGTTGTGCAATGCCCTGTAGAAGTCAGAAGAAGATGTCAGATCCCCTGGAACTGCAGTTATGGACAGTTGTGAGCTGCCATATGGGTTCTGGAAATTGAACCTGGGTCCTCTGCACAAGCAGTCAGAGCTCTTAACTGCTGAGCCATCGCTCCAACCCGGAAATGGCAGTTTTAAAAATTTATGTTCTGACCTCAGTGAATCCTTTCACTCTCCCTGTATCTCTGTTTACTTGTGTTTTATCTTTTTAGTCTCATCTTTCTTACTGCTTATTATTCTTATATTCTTGCTGGTTAAATTCAAATTAAACTGTACTGTTGCTGATAGATTATGTTTTATGATAAGAGTATTAGGAATTTACTGTCACTGATTCTGAAATGTATGGTATTCTATTAGTTGCTGTATCACCATGCTATATCTAATGTGTGTGTGTGTGTGTGTGTGTGTGTGTGTGTGTATACACACATATTATATATATACACATGTATATAAACCAAGGTTAGTATCATTATCTGAGTCTTTGTATCTTTAAATTTTTTAATTGATTTTTTTTCAATTTTCATTCATTATAATTTGATGATATTTAGATTCCCCTCCCCTGTCCCCACTTCCTCTTACTGTCTTCATGCACAATGTAATGCACTCTTTTATGCATATAATAAAGCCTATACAGTCTAATTTGTGTTCCCAAGTGACTTTCAGTGTGGATATATCAACTGGAACCTGGTTAACCTACCAAGAGCCCCATCCTTGAAAGAGATTGTCTCTCCCCATCCCCAAAATTCCTTAGATTGGATTGAGTTTCTTACCCACTTTTCCATTTTTGTGCTAGGATTTTGTCTGATTTAAACTCAAATGGGACTTATGCATGCTGCCACCATTGCTATGAGTTCATATGAGTTAACTGACCAGCAACCTGAAAAGCTCTGTTTACTTGTGGTCATCTACCACCTCTGGCTCTTACTATCTTTCTGCTGTACTTCTACAATGATCCCTAAACCTTGGGATGCAGAAGTTTGATCCCTATTTAGGGATAAACACTTTGAAGCCTCCTTTTCTCTGCACATTGGTCAGTTGTGGGCCTCTGTGTTAATCATCATGTGTGGCATAGGAAACTTCTCTGATAAGAGTTGAGAGATGTGCTAATCTATTGGTGTAACAATGTCATTAGGAGTCAGTTTAATACTACAACTATTTAGTAGAAAACTAGTATTATGCTCTCCTCTCTGTCCTGTGTCCTCTCTAGCCTCAGGTTCCTAAGCCTGATGTCACTGTCAGGTACGGGCTCCACCCTATGAAGTGGACCTTAAATTCAGTTAGAGAGTGGTTGGTTACTCCTACAATATTGATGCCACTGTTGCACCAGTGGACCTGTCTTATCATGCCAGTTGCTGTGGTTCATAGGTTTCACAGCTGGGTAAGGTTGATAATTATTTTTTTCTTTCTGATAGCATGAAAAGCACTATAGAAGCTAGCTACTAGGTAATAAAGCTCTGAAGTCAGCACCAGCTTGATTTCTCCTCATTTCTTCTACAGCTCATGTATCTTTTGATTATATTATAATCTTCCCCAGATTCGTAGGGCCATCTCTCTAGTCCCTCCTTTCCTTTCCTTTCTTTCCTTTCCTTTCCTTTCCTTTCCTTTCCTTTCCTTTCCTTTCCTTTCCTTTCCTTTCCTTTCCTTTCCTTTCTTCTTTCCTTTCTCTTCTCTTTTTCTTTTCCTCCCTCCCTCCCTCCCATCTCTCCCTCTCTTCCTTCCTTCTTTCTTTTTTTTGAGACAGAGTCTGTCTGGATGACCTGGGACTTACCATATAGCCCAGGGTAGCCTCAAACTCATGGCTATCCCTTTGCCTCAGCCTCCTGAGTGCTGTGATTACAGGTGTCTTCCTCTTTTTCCTTCCCTTCTCTTCCTCACCTGCCTCCTTTCCTTTCTCTTTATGCTTTTTTGTTCTGTTGATTTTTGAGACAGGGTCTCCCTGTAGCCCCAGCTGTCCTTGAACTCATATGTAGACCAGGCTGGCCTTGAACTAACAGAGATCCACCTGCCTCTGCCTCCGAAGTGCTGGGACTACAGGTGTGCGCCACCACGCCCGGCTGTTGTTTTTATTTTTAGACAAGGTTTCACTCTAGCCCAGCCTTGTTTTAAAGTTTCGGGTTTATTTGTTGTGGCCACTGCTTTTCATTCCTACTTGCATGGAGCTGCCCTTTTCTGACCTTTCACTTTCATTTCTATCTATGCTTGTATCTTTGAACTGAGCATCTTGTAGGCAGCATCCAGCTGTTTACATGTCTTTGGATTGGAGAATTTCATCTATTAATTTTAAATGCAATTGTTGATAGGTAAGGAGCTAATATTGTCATTTTGTTGATTGTATGCTTCTTATTGTATAACCTCTGTTAATTTCTTCCCTAGTGTTGTTTCTCTTTTAAATATTTTTATTGATTCAAGGATTCCATACAATGTATTTTTATCATATTCAGATCCCCTGTGTACTTCTGCCTCCACCTCTACCTTACTAACTCCCCTGACTTCATGTTCTTTCTTATTATTTGTCTTTTTTAGTTGTTCTTTTGTTTTGTTTGATGCAAGGTCTCCCTGTAGCTCCAGCTGGCCTGGAACTCGATGTGTAGTCTAGGCTGGCCTCAATCCCAGAGAATCTCTTGCCTCTGCTTCTGAGTGCTGGGATTAAAGGCAGGTGTCATGATGCTGGCTGTCTTTTTTTTTTTTAAGGCTTATTCTGTCTAATCTGTTTCCAAAATGGTGTGAGTATATCCTTTGGAGTCTGGTCACCCTATCAGGTGACATTCAGATAAGGTAAATTGACTCGCCCTCTCTCAGTAGTTATCAGTTGCCAATAGACCCTCAGCTAGAATTGGGCCTTCTTGCCTATCTTCCCCATCCATGGTTGGTTTTTGTCTGGTTTGGGTTTGCATGCTGTTCCTATGCATGCTGTCCCAGGTGCTGTGGTTTCAGATAACAATTACACTGCGGTGTCCAAACAGTACTGTTTTCTTGTATTCACCTACTACCTCTGGCTCCTACAATCTTTCCACCCCTTCTTTTGCAATGATATTTGAGTTTTGGGAAGACAGTATGTGATATAAATGTTCCGTTTAGGGCTGAACACTCTCAGTCTTTTGTTTTTTGCACTTCGGCCATTTGTGAGTCTTTGTGTTTATCACCATCTTCTGGAAGAAGAATCTTTTCTCGTGAGAGTTGAGAGATGTTCCAATCTGTGAGTATAACAGTGAGTCATTAGCAGTGAGTTTAATACTATGTTTACTACCTATCTTTCATAGTGCCAGAAGGTGCATGTTATTGGTAGAGAGAGGTAATTATCAGCCATATGCATCTGTGAGTCCTGTAAGCTACACTAACAATTGGCTTGGAAAAATATGCCCACTAGTTCAATAATGACACAAATGTTAGGAAAGTCACTGGTAGTTAGACAGGTCACAGGCCATAGGGGAGAATCTACTATTATTTTGTTTCTTTCTAAAAATTACATATTTATAAATTTGTGTATTTGTATGTGTGTGCATGTATGTGTGCACCTGTGTAAGCCACAGTGTATGTGTGGAGATCAGAGAACAACTTTGGGAGTTGGTTCTCTTCTTCTATCATGAGGCACCATTACCTGCTGGAGCCATCTTGCTAGCCCCTTTGTTTCTTTTTGAGGAGGTGATTTTTTTTTTTCTGGTGGTGTGCTTTGATTCCTTACTTTTTACCCTTTATGCATTTATTTTTGATGTATGCATTTATTGCTATAAACTTCCATTTTATAACTTTTTTCTTTTTGTTACCATGACGTTTTTCTAAAGTTCTTGTATTTGTTTTTTATTGTTTTTTTTTTTTGTAACAAGCAAATTAAGCTGTTAAAACTGGTATCATTTGAATATTGGCAGTGTACCCCAAAGACTTTTGTGTCAGTGGCTTGATCCCCATATTGGCATCAATGGGAAGTACTGTTAACATTTTTGAAGCAGGGCCTAGTCAGAAGCCATTAGGTTACTGGGGTACATTCCTGAGGGGGAATTATGAGACCTAGGCTTGCCTTTTCCCCACCATTACCATACAGTGCTTGCACTGTGTAGAAGCTCAAATCCAAGGGGCTGATCGGGCTTGTACTGCAATCTCCACAACCATTTAGCCAAATCGACCTTTTTTTGTTCTTTTAAATTAATTACTTTAGATTCTTTTGTTTTGTTTTATTGAGATAGGATTTTGATATTGTTGCCCAGGCTGGCCTCAAACTAACTTGATAGCCAAGGCTGACCTTGGACTTGTGATCTCTCTGCCTCAGTCTCCCAAATAT